AATCTGAGTGTCTTGTGTATCTATTTTTTTTTTTATGCAATTTAATTTCTCTCGATGGTATATAATTATGATTTTAAATTCTCGACACTCTCTTGACTTATTTTTAATGCTTAGTGATAATAAACCTTTGATGAAAATTCTACATATCAACCCATGAATAATAATTGAGTCCTACGAAAATGTATGAATGGATGATAGTTATAAATTCATGATTAAAATTAATGTCTAACTTAATTAGATAGAGAAGAAGAAGAAGAAGAAATTTTTGGTAACTTTATAAGAATGCCAAATAAAGGCTTGGTTATATTAGTCACCCTTATCACCTTGGGAGTTTCTTGAGAGTGTTGACTTCACTCCGATTTTCAAGTAGAGAAGTGTCGTGTAATATGCTTGTGTGAAGAATTATTCTAAGGGTGGTCTTACTGAATTTATTCCAGACACTATAATTTTGAATGTGTCTATTTATTTTTTTAAGGGGACGAAGTATGTTAACACAACATTTTGATAATAGCACTGCATTTTAATGGCATAAAAAGTTCATAACTTATATTCATTGTCACGTTTATATCTTCAAAAAAAATTCATGACATTTATAGATTAGCATATCTTGTCACCAGTGACGACTTTCGTTAAAAATTCTATAAAGAGGGAGAAAAATGACTTATTTACCTCATATTTTAACAAGTAAAAAGTACAACAAATACAAATTTGCTACTAAATATTTATCCATTTGAAAGAAAACTAACAAAATTTTTAGACGAAAACCATCATTAGACACAAGATATGTTGGTTAATGAAATGTAAAAAATAAAAATTGAGAATTTAATAGAAAAAAAGTTAGGAACTTTTACTGCAATAAAAATGTAGTGTATTTATTAAAAAATACGGTGTAAATATAATCATCTTTTAGGAGGGGGCACAGGACCACCGGTCCTAATATCATAAGTTAGGGTGTAGAGTACTCCCACACTTCGGCAAGCCTTAGGTGCCGATGTGGGAAATGTACAATGAAAATTAGCAATTTAAGTCAATGTTTCGTCTTCATTTTCTAAGATTTATTTTTCTAAAATTCATTTTCAATCATACATTTGATGGGACTTACGAATTTTATCAATTTTATTATACATTTTATCAATCTTTATTAAAATCTATTAAAATTTTGATTTTTTATCCAAATACTAAGCCATGAGCCGCCATGGACGGGCTGCCTCTTGTGCTGACTGCCATCACTAGTTTATACTCAAAATCATTTAATGGGCTTTGTGTGGTGTGTATCATTGGGCCTATTCTGGCTGTGTTTTTATAATTGATAAAAGGGAAAATTAGCTCAAACCCTACAAATAAAATATACATTTCAAAATTCATGTTGAAAAGTTTTTTATACAAAAATCGGATCTTAATTTAATTTTTTTTAACATTCTAATATTAANAAAAAAGAGTTTTTTATTTTAATTTCTTAATCATTGTAAAAAAAAATTCAATAATTCAAATAATACATACCAAACATCTAAAATTATAAAATATTGTATTTACTTAATAATTCCTACATAAAGATAAGTTTCAAAATCATAATTACATAACGTAGATAACTTGTAGCTTAAATCTTATTTAATCTAACTCATTATCGGACTCCAATTCAATATCTTCTTTTTCATCTAA